ACTAGGGAGGCCCTGTGCTGTATATATTTTTATAATACTGTGTTTTCATTTTTATAATGCCACAAAATATAAAAATACCTACAGGTGACTCTGTACTATGTGGGAATATGGAGTAGATGAGATTCCATCATATTTAAATCATTTGATTCCTCAAAGATTAGTGAGATCTTTCACTAATATACTTTATATATTTTATTTTTATTTTTTTAAAGATTTATTTATTTATGCATACAAGAACCTGGGTATAGGCCAGAAGTGTGGGGTGGGGTGGGTGGGGGGTGAGAGGATTCACCAGAGACAGAGTGGGCAACAGAACAGGCAGATCTACTGAAATACACTGCTGAGGCGAGCAGTGGGAGAGGCAGGAGAGGTCTGCTGCGCCATGTGGGTTACCTCCCTGGCCAGGGATTGAACTCATGCTGCAGTAGCTGGCGATAGCTTGATAGTGCTGAGACTTAACCCCTGCGCCACCAGGAAGGCCTCCTGAATACTTCTAAGTAGACTGGCATGAATGAGAGGTGGATATGAGTTTCATTTCAATTCATAACCAGGGACAATGGAGCTCAAAGAGATGCGACAAGTGGTTTCCCCGCCTGTGGGGAACCGGGTGAGATAGGCTAGGGGCTACTCTGAATGGGGGGTGGGCTTTTCCCACTTCCACTCAAAGCTCTGGAGGAGACCACCCTGAAGTCTGCCCCATGCCATCACCAGGACAACCACCTCCAAGCAGACTAGCAGACGAGAGAGCAAGTCAGGCAGCAGGTGCAGGTCCAGCTTCCCTGGGCTGCTTCCAGTTACCTAAGTGTTGTGAATGGGTCCCTAATATTCCTCAGTCCTCTGAGAGGACCATGAATGGCTGGATTGAATACCTGGGGACTGAGGTGTGAAGGAAGAGACCTCACAACAGGTGTTTTTTAGAGAAGCATCAGAGTCAGCAGCCAGGGGCAGAAATTCCAGGGTTTCAGTAGCATGACAGTCAAGGTGAGGTTAAATCAGTGAAGAATTTTTTAGGTCCTAACTAAACCCAGAATGAGGGTCCAGTTGCAGTACCTTTGTCACAGGTGTCCAAAAACCCAGTAATAAGGCGGCTGTGCCCTCCAAGAACAGCCCGGACCTGCAGATCCACAGCAGGACCTACCAGGACTCAGAGGGCCTTCTCCTCCTCTGGCTGCCCCCCACTGTTTCCTCACCCAGAAATCCCATTCAACATAAGCTAGACAAGAAGAGAAGGAGGAAGAAATCTGAGAGACCAGATATATTTTATTTAGAGACAGGAGTTACCAAAATTGACTACTTTCATTATTGCATCAGATCAACTTTCCTATATGAGACTAAAATATAGAACTCCTCTCCCCACTGGCTAGAGAATGGAACTTCAGAGGAAGACCAGAAATATTGTAGACAAAATAAGCAAATAAAGACAAAGTAAAAACTATCCAAGTGTTGTGTGGCCATGATAAAATTCAGTATTTCCTGCCTGCTTTCTGTGATGTGAGTACTGGAGATGTGAAAACAGACCAGCCAGTCTCCATCTTCAAGGGACTCAGTGTTGAAGGGTGAGCCATATTAAAAAATAGCTACAAAACGGTAATGTGAGGACTATTATCAAAATAAATACAAGGAAGAAGGGCACATGGACAGAGTAACGGACTCTAAGGAAATTCAGGGACATCTCGGGAAAAGGACCCTCAAGCTGGATTTTGAAGGACAGGGTTGCAGATTTTTAGTTGGAATTGAGAGAAATACTTGCTAAAACAAAACTAAAAGAGGGAAGGAAAGGTTTACTGGAAGCATGAGAGAGCAGCTCACAGAAGGAGAAGAATTTAATGTCCAAGGCTGGAGAGGGAAGCACCTGGGCAGCAAGAGGTCCCAGTGAAGAGAACATGGACTGGATCTAGATGGGCCCTGTCTCTTGGCTGCCTCTCTTCAGGCATTTGACACAATCTTTGTTAGTTACTTGTTTCTTCCAGTTACTGGCTTCTACACAGACCCTTTCAGCTCTGTCCCCGAGATGACAGATACCTCCTTCCAAACTCCAGCTTGGAATCCCAAAGAAGCGCTCTGATGGCCAAGCCTGGGTCAGGTGCCTTCTCAGAGCCAGCAGCTGTGGCCAGGCTGGAGGGGAGCTGTGAGTAGCCCAGTGAATGTGGACCACACACCCGCTGCACCCAGGAAGGCGAGAGCGCGTGAGAATGTAGCCGCATCGTGGCCAGGGCAGGGAAAGGCCTTCCTTTGAATTACATGACTGCTGTGCAGTGAAGGGAGGAAGGACATGAGGCAGAGAAACTAACCATCCAATGCAACATTTGGTACCACCCTGTTTCTGTATCCTCATGAAGCAGCAGTGCACAGACCTGGGCTATTTTCCATCACTTTGATATTCTCGATGTAAGTCTCAAGGGACCACCTGCCTGTTACAGCACCCCTCCCCCCACAGTTCACCTCAGGCTGTTGAAATGACATCCCTGCCCTGACACTCTCAACTTGGTCTGGTCGCTTCACCTTGAACTTAGACAGTAAAGATATCCTTAACTCTCCAGTGAAACTTGTACTTTCTGCCTTAATTAATGTATGCTAATAAATCAAACAGTACTTCCCCAAAATTGGAATGGTGGGGGTGGGTCCTGAACATGGGGTAACAAATTGGAATAGTGCCTCCCTTCTACTTCCAGGGATTAATGCATTTACATACCTTGCCCAAGAATTTGAGCTTGCCTGAAATAAAGAAAAAAAAATCCATTTTGAATATTTGACAGAGGATTCATGGGGTATGCAGCTATGTTGTTTGGTAACAGGCTTGTGATGGGCCTCCTTTTCTTTGCTGACAAAGGCAGGCCTCCAGGCAGGGTCTGAAATTGGAACTGTTCTGCATGAAGCTAAACACTATCTTCATTGTGAGCTAACAAAGTCTTAGCAGGTTATGTCACCTTTAGGAAAATATTTCTCTTCCTTAATAAGGAGTTCTGTAGTGACTTATCCTGCTGCGGTGTTCAGGCGTCCCTTGGGGCATTTCTGGACTGAACACATGTGGAGCACAGGGAAGCACATGTGTGTACCCAATGAAACCTCCTGACAGGAAGGACAGGAGGGGAGGCAGGGGAAGAGGACAGGTAAACCCACTAGATAAAAGTGATTCACTTTTTAAAATCATCCCTAAATCCTCTGAAATGTCACCTTACTTTTAACACTATGCCAGGGATTATTTTTCAGACTAAGTACCTGCCTTCCAAACACTAAGATCAAGAAAAAAGCCCCAAGTGGGGTCTCGTGATTTAGCTCCATTGCCAGCATGCTCAGTCTCTCTTTATCTTTCTCTGGGGCAAACTTGTGGACTTTTCAGAACACACTGGAAGCACTTCTACCCACCCTTTTCTCAATTTGTTCTGTCTCTCCCTTTCCTCAGTCAACCAGCCAGATCTCCAGTTTTCTGTGCCCATCCAAAGCAACAAGGTGAGTCAGGGCCATGGATGTGTATATGGTGCATCAGGACATGAAAAAGGCCATAATATTTGCCTCCTCCAGAGCTTCCACTACTACCTCTACACCTCGTCAAAGATCCACAAGAGGGGGAGAAGCCATGGTGGTGAGACACCATGGCACCTTTTAACACATATGCACCTCTACTAAGTGGTGTGAAGTACACCAGCAAGAAGAGAACCTCTAACATGTCAATACTCCAGTTTTACGTTCAGTTCAGCCAAGTATCAACTCTGGTCCTGGACAACTCATTTCTCCCCTCTGTGCCTGAGAGCCCCCAAGTAATAAATGAAGATCACAACCACATCGACGCAGGCCCTTTAGAGAGAACACACATGAAAAAAACAAAGTCGACATGCCACTCACACATTTATTCTCCTTCTCATGCTACTGCTCCCTATATCTCCTGGAGTGGCCTGGAGTATGACCTTAAAACTCTTTGAGTCTCAGTTTCCTCACCTATAAAATTGTGACACGTAGGAAAGTAGCTCCCAAGGCTTAGTGAGGAGTGGTTGGGATCAATAGTGTAGGACATAAATATCAGTTATTCTGACTATGACTCCAGAAAATCAAGTGCTATCTAAGCTCTCCGAGGTTGTTCCACTTTCTAATAGGCATTGCCTTGTTCAGCAGCTCTAGGTTGGTTCTACACCAGCAAAAAGAAAGGAAAAAAGCATTCTTTCACATTTGTGAGGCATAAGATAAGAACTGGAGTAGGAAAGCATGAGAGACTTTACATATATGGGTGAAAGGCACAAAGAAAGACAATTCAACATTTCCTGGGTCCTGATGATTTATACTAAAGAATGCATTTTAAAGATTGAATGATAATGATGACAAACAGGGTTCAATCCCTATTTTTTTTAATTCTTTGATTAATACACATTACTTCTTGGTTCAATCTCCAACTGAAACCAACAAAACAAAAATCCAAGCATTCCTGGAGTCCCTGAAGCAGAACAGTCGAGGATTCTAGCCCACTCCAATCTTTAACCACTAGATTCCCAGTACAGCCTGTCCTGGGCTGCCCAGGAAAGCAAGTCTCAAGAACCCCAGGAATACCTTTGGAAAGCATGGCTTTAACTACTTTCAGCTCATTTTATTTACATCATACGCCCCCTCTAAACACTAGTCATTTTCCAAAGCACTGCTTCTAACTCCCATTCTTCTCATACCCCTTCTGAAGGGATCAGGATAAGAAAAGACCAGGTGCACGTTTTTAGTTAAGCAGTGGTATTGGTGTGTTACTGTTAAGCTAGATTTCCTCTTACTATCAACATTAAAAAAAAAAATTACATCACTCTCTAAACAAGCCAGCAATGTGGAGGTGGATGTGTCTATCAAAGAAAAGTGACAATAAGGACAGGAGAGAGTATAAAAAGAAAGAATACTTACAAGGATAGTAGGACCAGAGAAAGAATAACAGAATAAAAGAGTATTTCCAACTATATTTGAGAGGTTTGCTAATAAGCCAGAAGTTCTAAGTCCTTAAATCTCCTTCATGATCTCCCAGGTGACCAGAACCCACATTCCGAGAATGTTGTAAGTGCAAGGAACAAATGGGGAAGAAACTCAAGCCACCTTCATTTTAAAGGTTGAGTAAAAAGACAAGAAACCATCGTTCTTCACAAGCTAGCTACTGGGTTGAAAAAAATTCAGGTTATGTGGTGTTTTTCTGCCATAGGGGGGTGGTTGGGTCCCGGGAGATGTGGGGTCCATTTCCAAGGCTAAAACCCCATCAGCAGAGATGTATCTCCCTGACTTACTGCCCCATCCCACCCTCCAGGGCAGAGATTGGCACTCAGGAAATGCTGAATGCATGTTGAACACATGAATATTTCCCCAGCATTTTACATCTTCACCCCCTTGTCCACATCTATAAAATCCCATGGTTTGGCCCAGGTCACCTCTAAGGTCCCTTTGGCTCTAAAGTTCTTAAGTTCTTGGGGCCACTTGGCATGGCCCAACCCACACTTCACAACTAGATGTCATTTAATAAAAAAAAAGAGGTGTCAGAAACTGTCTGACAATTCCCCACTCCCTGCTACCAACCTCTTTTCACTTGTCTTTTGTTTATTAGCAGCAAATAGTTAATCATTTTCATATGCCAGGTACCTGCTTTCACTTGAACTGAGTTTAATTTATACATAGTTATGTTATGACTTTCTGTAGTTCAAACTGGCTGTGCTCCAACTTTGGATTTAAAAAGAAAGTGTGATGAATGTATTCCCTGCAACTCTACTGGACCCTCGGGGTTCTCCACTGGCCTCCTACCCATTAATCCCAGAAACCATCATTCTTCAGGTGGCTACACTGCCCAGGCCCCCAGCAATGCAGGCATCCAGCCGGCCAGCAGGCAATATTAGTACAAAAAATACATAAAGCAGATTATTGCCCAAATGTAAGAGAGTTACAATTAGCACAAAGATTTAGCAGAATTACAGAAGTGGCACCTGCCATCAAGAAGGTCTCCACATACCAGGACCAATAACAATCACTCTGAAGTATTTGTGATTTAGTGCACCTCCCCTCTCAGAACAAATTTAAAAGTTTTCTTTTGAAACAAAATCTATCATTTGGAAATAATTTCAAACTTATGGAAAAGCTGAAAGAATGGCACAAAGATTAACGAAACAATCTTTGCCCAGATTTTATCTATTGTTACTATTTTGTTCTATTTTGTATCACTGTCCTGGCTTGCTTTTACATGCACATGCTTGTGCTTCTCTTGGGTGTATTTTTCCTCTCAACTATCTGATGGTAAGTTGCATACATCATGGCCTTTTACACCAAAGAAAAGAAACTAGATTTTAAAAGACTAATAGGAAAACAGAATGATGTACAATGATGACAAACATTATATCCCCAATGATAGAATTTTGTGGATGGCATTAAAGCATCATGATACACACACTCAGGTTTTCTTCCATCCTAGAGGGTCAACCCATCGTATTCCTGGAGCTGGCCTTGAGCCCAGCCTGAGTTAGCAAAACACACACCTCTATTTATTTTACTTTAGAAGCGACCCTTGAGGCTAACCAGGTATGACAATCACCACCGGTCTCCCATTTTTCTCTAGGAAAAGTACGGAGTGAGAGACAGGACATTCTTCTCTGGAGAACAGAGAATTCTGCTCCCCCAAGGAGAGCGCTATTAAGACAGCCCATTTTCAGAAACACCTCTTCTACTTCAAGGTTTGTGAAAATGTTTCCCTTTCCTTGAATTAAAAACATAACCACATGAGTCACTGCACAAGACAAGAGGTGGAAAGGGTTACCACCTTTCTTGTCTGGGTAAAGCTCAGAAGGCAACATTTGCCACCTGCTGAGCCTGCCTGGGGCCAGGCACATGGACACCCGACCACCTGCACTGCTGTGCCCCTGGGTCCCAGGACCCGTTGCAAGGTGAGGGTGTGTAAGTGTACAAACCCACTCCACTGTTAAACCAAGGAGAGATAAAAGACTCTCCTTCCTGTGGCAGTGAAAATTCAGCAGACTTCATAATTACTGTTAATAAACTTTAATATATGACTATCTCCTGGAGTTATACAGGTTTTCTATTTGAAATTACTTTCTAAAAATCCCTTGCTCTGAGCAACTATAAAACCAATAAAATAGTATGGAGTAGAAAGAAACAATTTCTTAGCTACAAAATATTTTTTACAAATGAAGACACTCAAAAACTAAACCACAAAACCAGCAGAAACTGGGTCTCAAGCATATCCATACTTCTCTCTCATCCCACGAAGACACAATTACATCAACAGTGCTCTTTATTGTCAAGGTAACTTATTAAGTGACTCCAAAACATTTACCTTGCTCTAAACGCCCTCGCTTTAAAAGCGAGATTGCTTAGGCACCACGCAAGACAAAGGTGAATTCAAAGTGAAAGGAACACACGGACAATGAGTAGGTTTACCTCAGAAGTCTACACATACAGTATACGGCGAGAGTTTTATAAAGGCAGGTATAAACACGTACTTCATCAGAAAACAGTGTGGGAAAGAAAGACAAGAAAGGTATGACTATGAAGATGCCGTTTGGCTCTGGGGAACATAAAAGATCCCCTGATCTACCTTGTTTGGATGCCCTCCGCCGAATCTTCATTTTGGGGAAGGAAGGCCACGAGTAGTTAAAAGGTGAGTCAGAGTCAGAATCCATCTTTTTGTTTTGGTGAAATCGACAGATTCACCAGCAGAGACGCAGGAAGACGTCTGGAGTCCCCGGCCAGGAGGCGAGTCTCCCGTGTGATGTAAAAGGAAGGAATGAGGCTGGGTGAAAAGCTCATGAACACCAGGGAGGGAGAGGCAATAAATGTTTTGCTTCCTTCGGGCGTTCAGGCATGTAGACCAAGAAGGAGGCTGTAAATATTAAAGCCAAACTAGGGAAGTAAAAGGAGGAGAGAGAGGGAGCCTTTAGAGTCGCACTGGTACATCTCAGTCCAGTTATTCAAAAGGTCATTGGGAGCAAATGAATCATTAACTCCCCTCATCTTGCTGGAAATGGAAATGAAGAAGAAAGGTAACTGGCGATCAAAAGAGCAGCCTGTGATTCAGTAAAAGTCTCCAAATACTGGCGCTTGTTTGGCTCTGGAACAAGAGAGCAGTTTCTCAGAAAAGCCACCCTGCACAGTGCTAGACAAAGGTTGAGGTTTATGTGTGTGGACAGCCAGAAGCTTGATAAACAGGCAATTAAAGGCCACTACACACAGGATGGGGATTTTTCCAGAGCATACTTCTTTCACACCACTGGCAGCTTTTCAGATTCAAAAGCCAAAACAATTCTGATAATTCATTTAACAATCCAGTCTCCTCATTTTTTGAATCCGAAAGTGGTTTGAATCTTTAACTTTCAAAACTACAGTCATCTCCCTAAGTTCATGCAAAGTCATCTACTACTACACAGCACAATTGGGGTATTTTTCTTAAATCATCACCTAGTGTGACTGTCAATTGTAAGGACACCTTCAGAGCTCTGATCTAAACTTGCAGTCCTGCTCAATAGAGCCTAGTGATTAATTTACCAGAAACCAACAGGACATTTGCAGTCTCCCTGAATAAATCTCTGGTAATTAGCATTCAGTAGAAGCCCATTACTGCCTCCCCACAAATTGTGTCGCTGCTCAAACTTACTTCCCCATGCCCTATAAACACACAGACACTTGTGCCCCAAGTAAGCTCAAGCATAGCAGCCAAGATCGGTGGCAGAAAAAAAATCTATCTCAAGTCTCATAGGGGAAGACTCTTAAGCATTTCTCTTAGCAGTAACCATTGCAAGAAGTAATGTGTTTTGTTTTGCTGTTCTGTAAGGCCGTCTGATGCCCAAATAAATGAAGAAGTGAAATATGAGGGTATGTTCAATGCAGATGTAGAATATGACGATATGTATCTTACTTAACATCTCTTTACTTCATTATTCCCCAAATAGTTGGCACTGTTAAGCCACGCTGTGTAAGAAAAGAGACGTATAACCTGTTCTGTGATGGCTGATCCTGTCTGATGGGGTAGAGGGTGGGTGGGGTGTAGAGATAGAAGTGGAGAAGGGAGAAACCACCTAATTTCAAATTCAAATAAAAATCAGAATGACATTAAATCACTACAATTTTTTTATATAGGGCTTCTACATAAATACAACATACAGGGCCTCCCCGGTGGCGCAGCGGTTGAGCACTGGGTTGCGAAGCTGCCCGCGGCCTCTGCGGCGCCGGTTCGATCCCCGGCTGTTCCCCGGCCGCCAGAGGAGGGTCCCACATGGCGTGCAGACCTCTCCTGCCGCCCGCTGCTCCCCTCAGCAGTGTACTTCGGTCCTTCTGCCTGCTCTGCTCCCAGCTCTGGCGAATTCTCTCACCCTCCCGCGCTTCTGACTGTACCCAGTGCATGTATAAACAAAACAAACAAACCAGCAAACAAATAAATAAAGCATGCCTCTATAAAAAAAAAAAATACAACATACAACTGGAAATATTAAAACTAAGTGAAAATAAACATTAATATATTTTATATTTTGTGACCTTTTATTTAAAGATTACTTTTCTTAATCAGTCTGGTGAGACTGTAAGGATCGATTACTCTCAACTCTTAACAATAGGTAAGAGAATTTTATTCCATATGAATCTTTTACAAGAAAATAGATAAAATCTTGTGAATAGGTATTTTCATTCCTTCTGAGTTTTAGAGCCTAGATCAGTCCCAGGGATATTGTAGGCTTCTGCAAAATGAATGATTTACAATAATAAGTCTCTACCTGTGGATGAAAAATCTATGCACGACAGCTGTAAAGTTTTTAGTGTCTTCTGACTGCAAATGTGTATCTTGACAAAAGCATACAAGAACTTTTTTAAGTGTCTAAAGATATATTTGTATTTTATATATCACAACTATGCTGACTTTTTTTTTATAGGAGGACAATACTTAAGAGTGGAGAAGACCCATTGTTCACTAAGGCTCTCCGCAATACTTGGAGTTTGCCCAGTTTCTAGGCTGCCTCTGAGATATCTGTGGACCAAAGGAAAGGGACCTTCACCAGTGTAGCCATCACTGAGTTCAAATGAAAGTTTTGGATCAGGAAATACTGTTATCATCCTCATTCTCCTGCATGGAAAAACTTTGGAATTCACTAAATCCAATGTCAACAAATTACTGGAGCAGGTTGCTTCTGTCAGTGACAAAACCACTCCAAGGCAATGCAGACAAAAGGGATATGAAAGGACTTTGTAAAATGCGTTGCTATTAGTTGAGATGCCAGTTAGTTGCATTTTAATCTCATTTCCTCTAAAACACAATCCCTGTTGGCCAATTACTATCAACTGAGTATTGATAAGGAAATTATTCCTGACAATAAACTACCAGAACTACCTAAACAATACGTGAGAAGTTCAACAAGAGACTTTTCCAATCTCATTTGTTTTATTAACAAATTTGTTTGTTTTAAGAATGAAATTATTTTCACTGACTGACCATGCACAGTTAACATATGAAGTAGAAAATATGTTTTCACAGTCCTTTATATTTTTAAAGTAGCTTATTTTCTTGTCACCAAAGAATTTCTCCCAAATGTGGTTCATTTATCCTTGTTTTCTAGTGATTGAGGTTCCCCCCCATTGTGTCAATATGATTGCATTTTAATTAATTCAGGATTTTATTTGCATCTCATTCATATTCAATAGGTTAATTTCTTTGCTTTCTCTTCCTGGCTGATTGCAATTATAATTGGATAACTCAGTGATATATCCCAAGGCCACTGTCTCACCAGATATCATACAACCATTATAGTGTAAGGATATTAATGGTTGTATCAGCCTTACTGAGCCTCCTTTAATTAGACAACCTTTTAGTCAAAAATACCATAAGGTTACAATCATCCAGAGTAGATCCTGCTGCCTTAAAATTTCAGTTTTCTGGAAGAACCAGAGAGAAGGGAAACCCTCCTTCATTCTCCTCATCTAAGGAACATGTCACCTACCTTTTAACTTGGATAAAATTAAACCTCCTTATAAGGATACTTATGGTTTGATGTCAATTATAGCATCTATACAGGTTTAATCAGAACCTAATTAATTAAGTTAGAACCTAAAATTACCTATGGGCAAGAACTTTATCATACTCACATTTTTAAGGAGTCATAAGCTAAAAAAGAAAAATCATGGGCTTTTGGAGACATTTATATCTGTCCAGCATGCCATGAAAAAGACTTCCTGAGTGGAGGGGCTGCTGAGAACTAGGAGCAGAGCTGAGCAGCCGTGTTGGACTTTAAAAATACTGAACATATGTGCATGCTCTTTTTCCTGTTTGAGTGCTTTGGGCAGACAGCAAGATTCTGACTCTCTTCAGAAAGTATGCAGCCATACCTTCACCTTCTGGTGGATTCAGCTTGGGTGGTACATTTTGACTTTCCATCTCTCCCAGCCCTCTATGTAAAACCTTGCTTGTACTTCCTCCCAGGAGAAACCTTGGATTCCTTCTCCTGGAAGCTTTACTTTGGGACCTTGCCTGCTCAGCTCTGAGCTTGCCTGTTTGGCTGGGTGTTTGACGACGAGGGGTTGGGTAATTTCAGAGTTTGATCGGGAGTCTGTATATTGAAATTCTTCTCTCCTCTACTCTTCTTCTATCTACCCTATTAAATAGTTTTGCACACAGTAGAGTTTATTTAATTTGCTTTGATGTGAACAGGTGACATGAACCCTTACTATGAGCCGAAAGGGGATTTCATCTTTATAGTTTGGGGTCCCTGGGTACCCCATGGTTTTGCCAGTGTCAATTCCAAGAAAATCATACCAAACCTAAAAGATCAGAAGAATTGCTTTGCTTCTCTACTCCACTGTTTTACTACCAGAGACTGCATTCTGCATGCTGTTTTTAACCGCATTCTTGGCAAGTATCATAGAAATACACATGGAGACAAGACTCCTGATACCATAAAAACCTATCCTAGATAACTTCAACCTAATGTAGATAACCTAGATAACCTAAACGTAGGTTCTAGCATTATGTAAAAAACAGAGATGGTGAAAGACCTCCACAAAAATCCCTTAGAAGGCACCGTATCATCTAAGCCAAACACAAGGAGTTCTTGTTGGAGTCCTTTGGTTGGACACCAGGTAAAATGGTTGAGAGGTCACATTATATAGAAAATGAGGGTCTGTCAAAGGAGGGCTCATATCCATGTGATAAGATGCACTCACTGTGCGAAGCACAGTAGAAATTGGACTGATGGGTGGAGCCACCCTAAGGTTTAAATTATCATTTAAACTTTATTTAAATTTAAACTTTACTTAAACCTTATTTACATTATTACTTTTCTATCCCTCTCCCTCTGTGTTTTATTTTAGCAGAATTCATAAATTTGAATACACATAAAATAGATATGCTTTAGGAGCATGGTACAATGGTTGACATAAATAGGATGCCATCATTCATAATACCATCGTACTTGAAAAATAAGAAGGTTTTTAGTTCTTATCTACAAATATTTCTATATGCAACTATGTGTGTCTACATTAACTAATTACAGGGGCATATTAATGTTACAATGCTAATTCATTAGTATATGGTTCATTCTAACTTCCTCTCCTTGCTTATCTGTAAATTCCATTCCAACAGTGAGAAACTTGGCATCTGCTACCCATAACACTTTGACTTAGCCATTCATTTCCAGTTTACATGGATGGTGGTATCAGAACTGTTAACCTGTTCCCTGTGGGAAAAAATTTTACCACCTAGAGGACAGTGTGTACAGTGTCCTTTGCTTTTATACTTATAGACTCTATTCATTTCCAAAGTTACTGAGGTTTGCATGTGTGCACGCATACATACACACACACACACACACACACACACACACACAACACCCCTGCAATAAGGTTATTTCCTACATCTGCAGTACAGTGAGGTTGTTTTGCCACATCCTGCCTGCCACCACAGGATCCTCCGACTTGCTACTTTTTTATTTGCACACATTAAAGTTTACTCTGTGTGCTGTCAAGTTCTATGGGTTTTAACAAATGCAATGTCAGGTATCCACCATTACACTATCATACAGAATATTTTCACCACCCTTTAAAAAACCCACAGTAATGAGAATAGGCAGAAAAGATACAGAAGCTAAGTGAAAGAGTCCCCCATTACCAAAGCTAGGACTCTTTGAACAAATAAAGCAGTGTTGGATTATTACCCAAAGCATAAAATAAATATCCATGAATCCATACTGATATAAACAATGGAAGAAATAAGTGTGTGGTTTCAAATATTCCATCAGAAGAATTCTTAATAGGGCCTCCCCTGCTGGTGCAGAGGTTGAGCGCTGGGCTGCGAAGCTGCCCGCAGCCTCTGCAGTGCTGGTTTAATCCCCGGCCGCCAGAGAGGGTCCCACATGACGCGCAGACCTCTCCTGCCGTGCCCACTGCTCCCCTCAGCAGCGTATTTCGTCGGTCTGCCTGTTCTGTTCCCCGCTCTGGCTCTGGTGAATTCTCTCACCCTCCCGCACTTCTGACTGTACCCAGTGCTTGTATAAATAAATAAATAAGTCTTTTTTTAAAAATCTTAAAAAAAAAAAAAATCTTTAAAAAAAAAGACACCTGCCATTAAAAAAAAAATAAAAATTCTTAATAATATATGAAGAGTCTCTGACCACAGGGAAGTATGGAGACAACTCCCCATTCCTGAGCTGTGGGCTGCACATCGTAACTTCCTTACCACACAGATAGAAGGACAGGTGGGTTAGAGGACTCTTACAGTGGAGCAATCTGACAAACTCTACCTCAGCCATCAACAGAGAGGAGTGCTGTTGCTAGGACAGAGCACTGAGTGGTGAAATGACACTTTACCTCTGTGGTCTTCCTCCCAAAACCAGTAACACCAGTTTAATAATGGGGGAAGCATCATAAAAATACCAATAGAGGGACATTCTTCAAAACACCAACCCTTCTCAAAAACTGTCAAGAACATCATTAAACAAGGAAAGTACAAGAAATCTCACAGAAAGCTAAGAGAAAGCTGAGAAAAATGATGACTAACTTGTATGGTATCCTGGATGGGAATCTGATAGAAAAAAGAAATTACAGGGCCTCCCCGGTGGCGCAGCGGTTGAGCGCTGGGTTGCGAAGCTGCCCACAGCCTCTGCAGCACCGGTTCAATCCCCAGCTGCCAGGCAAGGGTCCCAAATGGCGCGCAGACCTCTACTGCCGCCTGCTGCTCCCCTCAGCAGTGTATTTCGTCAGTCTGCCTGTTCTGTTCCCTGTTCTGGCTCTGGTGAATTCTCTCACCCTCCCTCGCTTCTGACTGTACCCAGTGCTTGTATAAATAAATAAATAAATCTTTAAAAAAAAAGAAAAAGGAAATTAGATAAAAACTAAGAAAACTATAATATAGATAAAAATAATGCATTGATACTGGCTCATTAATTTTAACAAAAGTTACCATTTTAACAGAAGTTACCATAATAATGTGTGATGTTAATAAGAGGGGAAACTGATGCAAGGGGGAAGGTAGATATGGGAACTCTATTATCTTTGCAACTTTTCTGTTAATCTAAAACTTTTGTAGTTTCCATCTTGCAAGGTGACAGGTGGAAAGCTGAGGAGGCACTACCAAGAGAAAACCTGTGCCAAGAAAGCCAGTGCTGGTAGTGAGGTTAAGAACGCCAAGGCCCAAACACCTAAGAAAACTGTCCTCATCAGAGGAATGTGCAGATATTCCCGATCAGCTGTGTATTCCAGAAAGGCCATGTGCCAGAGGATGTGTTCAGAAGCTAAATCCAGAACTGAAAAGAAAAAGAAGGAGGTTCTTGCTACCATCACAAAACTAGCTGGTGATGACATGAACAGTGGCACTTGAGAGGTTAAACTACAAAAATGCCTAGAGAGTGCCCTGCTGAAGATGTGTTTTGAGAGCTGCTAAGCCACAGCAAAATTCCCTGGTCAGCATGTGAGAAAATTTTGTGTTCACATCACCCTGGGACTGTTCTGATCACCCCAAAAGGGCATCACAGAGGCCAGAGGGCGGCTTCCCTGAGGCAGCTGAGCAGCGGCTTGCTACTTGTGACTGGGCCTCTCTCCCTAGGCTCCAATTGCTGTGCATAGAACACACCAGAAATTGTCATCGCCATCTCCACCAAAACTGATATCAGTGGTGTGAAAATCCCACCTCTCACTGATTCTGCCTTCAAGAAGCAGCAGCTGTGTAAGCCCCGGCACCAGGAAGATGAAGTCTTTGACAAAGGAGAAATACAAGATGACAGAGCAGCACAAGGCTAATCAGAAAGCTGTGGACTTGCAAATTCTGTGGA